TCTTCACTGCATCACTGTGGGGTTGCTCTGTGTAACTGTCTCACTCAGTAGTGAGTGAAATATCCCTGGAAATGTACAATTTACTGCATTAGCCCAGCTTAGTGTCACATATCCATTGCATGTTGGTGCCTGTGGCAGACGGTGTGGTGTCACACCTTCTCAAGGTAGATAAAAAGTCAACACTCCAAAACACTGGACATCAGCAATAAGGTGGTCATTGGCAAGGCCTTGGGGGAGCTCCCATGACAGAATTGCCTAAGCCTCTGGTTTGAAGTGCCTAGACTTTTGTGGTGACATTTCAGGACAAGGGACATCCGCTCAGGCAACACAGGGATGGGGTAAGGAGGCTACCATCCCACCGGAAGTGGGAGCCATCTGAGAAGTTCCTCAAGACAATACCAGCCAAATATTAGAAGGTATTGGCATTCTGGCCGAGGCAGCATGTTCCAAATTAGCACTATGTTGTCTGGGAGTCCATCATCCTGTCACCAGCCGAGCTGGACAGGCTGCAGATACTCCTAAGATCCCATTCCACAAACCACACATAAGCCTGAACACATGTCTAGTATAGCGTTCTGGGGAGGCCAGGAGCCATGGTTCATCACAGCTTTTTGGGAGGCCAAGGCAAGAAAATCGCTTGAGTCCCAGAGTTTGAGACCAGCCAGGGCGACATAGTGAGACCCAGTCTCTAAAAAAAATAAAATTAAAAAATTAGCTTGGTGCGCGGGTGCATAGCTGCCTGCCTGGGGCGTGGGGCGCTAAGATGCAGTACTCAGGACACAGTGGCTGTCACTGATAAACACAAGTGTGGATCTGTTATTGGGGTCCTGCCTGCCTGGGGCGTGGGGCGCTGGGATGCAGTACTCAGGACATAGTGGCTGTCACTGATAAACACAAGTGTGGATCTGTTATTGGGGTCCTGCCTGCCTGGGGCGTGGGGTGCTGGGATGCAGTACTCAGGACATAGTGGCTGTCACTGATAAACACAAGTGTGGATCTGTTATTGGGGTTCTATAGGGCCCTCCCTGCCTGCCAGAGGCACCTAGGCTAGGAGGGGCTACCACTGGGGTCTGAGGAGGTCTAGTCCCCTACCGAAGGGCTGTGAGGTTGGTCCCAGAAACTGCTTGCTCCTTGCAGGATGTGGTAGCGCAGGCTCAAAACAGCCAGCGTGCGTTCCCCCAATTCGCAGAACTCTCTCAAAAGGCTGCAGTCTCTTGCCAACCTGTGAGGGTGGCTGACTGCCACCCCATTGTAAGAGTAGAGGTCAGGGACTGCCCCAGGCCACTCCGGTAGACCTGTGTCTTCATTTAACTCACTGTGCCTGAAGGTCACATGACGGTGCTGCGGGGTCTGGGGCCCAGCTGGGTGGGGTTCACATACTGGGGTGAGGGATCAAGAAGGGTGTCCGCTGCAGTGGAAAGAGGGTGGGCTGCGGACTTTCAGATGTGGCCCTTAACCTCCCGAGTGACCTAGGCTAGTCACTTAGCCGGTGGTCTGACCTCCATCTGTGAGTGAGTCACAGTCACAGGGCTTCCCTAGACCCCGGTGAGCTTCCATCATGACCTTGCGAGGTCGGGGCAGGGTGGGCAGGGTGAAATATCTGGGTGTGTGGCAGCGGGTGGGGCTGCGCGGGGGGCCTGGAGATGGGGGCAGGCCCTGCGCTGGGCGGCGCCGGCAAACTTGGCGGGCTCAGAGCTCAGAGGTGAGGCAGCTGCGGCGGCAGCAGGTGGGTTGCAGCGGATCCTACGGGGGACTGGGACGGGGACAGGGACGGGGACGGGGACAGGGACAAGGACGGGGACGGGGACTGGGACGGGACGGGGGAAAGCGGATCCTACGGGGGACCGGGACGGGGACAGGGACGGGGGACGGGCTCAGGCCCAAGAGCAGGCGAAGGCCCAGGTGTCCGGGGACGGGGCGCGGAGGAGCTGGCGGAGCTGGCTCTGGCGGCAGGGGCGTGTCGGGCATGGGGAGGTGTGCGGGCCCAGGGCTCCCCTGCATTCCGCGCGGATACCCAAGTCTGGCCACGGTGGCGGGGGCGGGGGCGAGGTGTGTGTGGCCGCTACTGTCTGTGGCAGGTGGCTGCCTGGGCCACGCCCGCCCCGACGCAGAGCCCTGGCTCCTGTTCCGGGTCCTGCTCTACTCTGGGGAAGCCTCGGTTTCATCTGGCTCTGGGACCCCACCACTGAGCCGTTCCCAGTCTCTCTCCCAGCTTCACCTGGAGCTGCTCCCTCCCCACCCCACCCAGCAAGTGAGTAGGTGGGGCCCCACCAGGCCTCTTCTGCTGCCTATGACCTCCTGCCCACAGGAGGCCTCTTCAGGCTTCCTATGACCTCCTGCCCACAGGCTCTGACACCGGCCCCATTCCAGCCCTTCAGCAGGCCTTCGGTTCGGGTGTCCAGGTCCGCAGGGCAGGGACAGAGAGAGGACTGGGGGTGGTCAGACCAGAAGGGATGGAAGGCCGGCTGGGCATCCAGTCATTCCCCTCTGGCCCTAGCAGGTTCCAGTAGCTGGCTCGGTGCTCTTCTCGGCCACCTGCCATGGCCCGGGGGCTGCCCAGCATGGCCAGCCTGGCTCGCTTATGCCAGAAGCTGAACCGCCTGAAGCCGCTGGAGGACTCCACCACGGAGACGTCACTGCGGCGCTGCCTGTCCACACTGGACCTGACTCTTCTGGGCGTGGGTGGCATGGTGGGCTCGGGCCTCTATGTGCTTACAGGTGCTGTCGCCAAGGAGGTGGCTGGCCCTGCTGTGCTCTTGTCCTTCGGTGTGGCTGCTGTGGCCTCCCTGCTGGTAGCCCTATGCTATGCAGAATTCGGGGCACGTGTGCCACGCACGGGCTCTGCCTACCTGTTCACCTATGTATCCATGGGCGAGCTGTGGGCCTTCCTCATCGGCTGGAATGTTCTCCTCGCATACATCATTGGTGGTGCCGCCGTGGCCCGCGCCTGGAGTGGCTCCTTGGACTCTATGTTCAGCCACAGCGTCCGCAAGTTCACTGAGACCCACGTGGGTTCCTGGCAGGTGCCCCTTCTGGGCCACTACCTGGATTTCCTGGCTGCTGGCATCATCCTCCTGGCCTCTGCCTTTGTCTCCTGTGGAGCCCGCGTCTCTACCTGGCTCAACCACACCTTCTCGGTCATCAGCCTGCTTGTCATTCTCTTCATTGTCATCCTGGGCTTCATCCTGGCCCAGCCTCACAACTGGAGCGCTGAGGAAGGCGGCTTTGCACCCTTTGGCTTCTCCGGCGTCATGGCTGGCACTGCCTTCTGCCTCTATGCTTTCGTGGGCTTCGACGTCATTGCCGCCTGCAGCGAGGAGGCCCAGAACCCACGGCGGTCCGTGCCTCTGGCCATCGCCATCTCACTTGCCATTGCAGCTGGTGCCTACATCCTTGTCTCCACCGTGCTAACCCTCATGGTGCCCTGGCACAGCCTGGACCCCGACTCAGCGCTCGCAGATGCCTTTTACC